TTCACCATATTAGCCAGGCTGGTTTCCAACTCCTGACCTCAGGTGATCCACCTGCCTTGGCCCCCCAAAGTGCTGGGATTACAGGCATGAGCCACTGTGCCTGGCCCTGTTTTGTTTATGGAATGGAAATTAGGCTTGATACACTGGGACGATTTGGAGGACAGACAGCCGAGGGATCCACAATGATGCATGCTGGTTTAAGATGAGGAAGGAAACCTCACAGGAGACTCCCACAAGGAGACATATGAGTTCTCTCTAGGTTCCGAATTTCTCCCTTACTTTTTCATGGGAGCAGAGCTAGTAGTTTGGATTCTCAGTGTTGTCTAAACCTGCTCAAGAAATTCACTGCAAAACAGTGATTGTCTGTGGCCTCTTCTCTGGGCTGGCTGCCTCTAGTGGAAGAATGGTGCTAGTTGTTGATATTAATGGGGAATGTTGGAGGTCAGCCACCTGAGGGGTAATTTCCATAAGCACTGATCTCATCTTCATGATCTCATCTCTGACCAGTTTCACAATATCTCATACTTGGAACTGCCGTTGTTGATGTGATCTGGGGGCGTGGAGGCACATGGTCCTCTCCTCGAGGTTGGTCTTTCTGTCGCAAAAGTACCTCCTGTAGGGCTTGAGGGCCTCAAACCTCTTTTCTTTTTTCTTCTTCCCTCTCCTCCTCTCTTCTTTCCTTTTCCTCTTTTTTCTTAGATTGAGTTCATAAACTCTGGCTATCTGAAGAATTTAGTCCTTAATTGAAAATTGAGGGAGAATGCCCTGGACTCTCTTGCTGACTTTTTTGGTGAACATTAATTATTTTGCTTCTCTGTGATCCCTGGCTGCCTCTGAAAAATGAGATAGTATACTGCGTTTTTAAAGTTTATGTGAAAACTAAAATATGATAAAATGAACTAGAGTAGTGATAATGCCTATCATTTAATTTTTTCCCACTTTTGTTTATGTTTTGAACATGTAGAACATTAACATGCTTCCAAAAGACAAACTGATTGATTTTGAGAAGTATATTCAAAAGAGTATCTCTTCTTCCCCTTTTCTTTTTCCCTACTCCTCGTTGGTAACTGTATCAGGCAGTTCTTGCATTACTATAAAGAAATACCTGAGGCTGGGTAATTTATAAGAAAAGAGGTTTAATTGGCTCATGATTCTGCAGGCTGTGCAGGAAGCATAGTGCCGGCATTTCCTTCTAGGAAGGTCTCAGGAAGCTTACAATTGTGGCAGAAGGTGAAGTGGGAGCAGGCATATCACATGGTGAAAACAAAAACAGAGAGACAGTGTTGTGGGGAGGTGCCACAAACTTTTAAATGACCAGATCTTGCGATAACTCACTCACTCTCTCAAGGACAGCACCAAGATCCAATCACTTCCTACTGGGCCTTACCTCCAACATTGAGGATTATAATTGAACAGGAGATTTTTTTTTTTTTTTTTAAAAAGACAGGGCGTCTCCCTTTGTCCAGGCTGGAGCGCAGTGGCACAATCACGGTTCACTGCAGCTTTGACTTACTGGGCTCAGGTGATTCTTCCACGTCAGCCTCCCGAACAGGTAGGACTACAGGCACGTACCACCATGCTATTTTTTTTTTGTATTTTTGTAGAGACAGGCTTTTGTCATATTGCCCAGGCTGGTCTCAAACTCCTGGGTTCAAGTGTTCCACTCGCCTTGGCCTCCCAAAGTACTGAACCTTGGCAATAAGTGAACCTTGGCGCCTGGCTTCATTTCCCCTTTTTATTACACAGAAGGTAGTATATCTAGATGTACTATTTTATACTTTGCCTTTTTCACTTCACAGTGTATCCAGGAAATTACTCTGCATCAGTTGACCGAGATATTCCTCATTCTTTTTTTCACAGCTGCATAGTACGCCATCATGTGTATGTGCCATAGTTTATTCAATCAGTCTCCAGTTTTTGGGCACTAAGATTGTTTCAGTTATGTTACAATTACAAATAATGCTGTAATGAATAATCTTCTGCATATATATTTTTGTATTGTTGGAGGCGTGTCTTCAGGGTAGATTCCTAGAACTGGAATTACTGGGTTGGGGGGTAAAGTCATTCCCCTACATGGTAGTTATACCCTTCTGAATTCCCTCTAGCAGTGGTTTCCATACAGCTCACTGCTGGTTTCCATACAGCTCACCCAACAGAAGTAGTGATCAAAATTTTGAATCTTAATGCTAATCTGATGGGAGAGAAATGGTATTCAATGTAGGTTTAATTTGAGTTTCTCCTATTATGAAGTTGAACATGTTTTCTATATTGAAATTTGTCTTTATATTTTTGTCTTTTGTGACTCATCTCTTTTGTCTTTTATTCACTTATTTTTATAGGACTTTTTATCCTTTACCCTACTTTTTAAAAAGTTCTTTATGGCCAGGCGCGGTGGCTCACGCCTGCAATCCCAGCACTTTGGGAGGCCGAGGCGGGTGGATCACAAGTTCAGGAGATCGAGACCATGGTGAAACCCTGTCTCTACTAAAAATACAAAAAATTAGCCGGGCGCGGTGGCGGGCGCCTGTAGTCCCAGCTACTCAGGGGGCTGAGGCAGGAGAATGGCGTGAACCCGGGAGACGGAGCTTGCAGTGAGCCGAGATCACGCCACTGCACTCCAGCCTGGGTGACAGAGTGAGACTCCGTCTCAAAAAAAAAAAAAGTTCTTTATATATGTATGTACATGTATGTAATAACATATAAACATACACAAAAATTGTATAATATTGATATTAGCTGTTTATCCATCTTATATGTTGCAAATATGGTCTTTTAATTTATTTGTTAAGCCTTGCTTATAGTCTTTTTTGCCTTGGAATAGTTTAAAAACTTAAAAAAAAATCAAATGCATCAATGTTTTTATTTTATTGCATCTGGTGCTTAGAGAGCCTTCCTCTACACCTATTAGAGAGTAATGCCTATTGTTTGTTGAGAGCTTTCCATGTAAACGGTGCTATACTGAGGACTTTTCTTCTTTTATCATGTTTAATAATTGGAAGAGCTCTGTGATTTACTAGGAGCCAGTGGCCTTGGAGCCAGTGAGACCTTGGCTGCTCAACTTCACTCCGTCAGTGGTGTGATCTTGCACATGGTGTCTGTATCCGCTGAGTTTCAGTCTCATTATCCGCAAAAAAGGGAATAATAATAGCGTCTATGTCAGAGGGTTCTTGTGAGAATTACCTGAGTTAATCCTGCAAAGGACTTTGAACAATTCCTGACATCTAATGAGTGCTGAATGAAAGTTGGCTAATTACTGTACCATAATAATTCAATTAGAAACATAAAGGGTATAATCTAATGCTCCCTTCTTCAAATTGAGCAAAGTTCTGTCATCACTTTAAATGTTTATATTTCTTTTACCATAAGTTTTAAATATCACCGTGAAACAGAGTATCTTGTTTTCTTTTTTTCTTTATGCATTTTGTTTTATTGTAACTTAAATCAGATACTTAAGTCTAGGGTTTCTTTTGGAAAGACTCAGGGAGAAATTTGGGACCTGAAGGTGAGAGCACATTAACCGTAATTTCAAACCATTAATGCTTATGTTTCGTTAGTCAAATAAGAATTGTGTTATAGTTCTGGATGCTTCTAAAATATGATGTTCATAAAGTCAAACTTGTTTATTACTGCAGTTCATTGGGGAATGATTTCAACATTTTACAAATGAGTATGGTTGCCCGGCTTTGCCATGGCTGTGCTGCAAAGCTCAGGCTGTGTGCCCTTCTCTGCTAATAGTGGAATCCTGTAATTTTTAGAAGGATTTTTGGCTATTAGAGAGTCGTTGATAATTCCTTGAGCTGGAAATGTTCCTGCTAATGCTTGCTTTTTTAGTGATAAGTTATTGCTGTCTTAACTTTATTTTTAGCAAGTTAGTTTATTGCGGGTTGTTTGGTGAATCCTTTAGTGTTTGGCCTATGTTTACTCACACTGGACTTGGAGATCTGTGTGCATTGCTTTGCAAATGTGAAACATCTGCTTTTTATTTGCAATCATTTATTTGTAACTATTTGCAAATATGACACATCTGCTTTTATTAATGCAGATATATAAGCCTTAACCCCCTCCCTAATTTACTTCTGTAATGATGCTTCATTGCCACCACTGAATGTATATATATGGAAACATGGAATTGCTGGGTAGGCAGGCAAGTTGGTTTTTTGGTTTACCTCAGTTGGCGATGGCCCCAAAATTTAAGAGCCACTGTCTTAGATTATTTAGCATTTCCTCCTCTGTATTGCTGGTCTAAGAATAGAAAATGCTTTTATTTTCTACTTTGGCCTTAAACTTTAATTAATGATATCCTACATAGTATTTTTCTTGTGTAGCAAACAATTCTAGATTACTAAGCATTGAAACAATTATGGTGAACACTAGAGAGTTAAATAAAAGTCTACCTTTAATTTGCTTGCTTTTGAATGGCTAGAAGTATTATCTATGCCATGGTGATCTTTAAATTTACTTTAATTTGGGATACCACAGGTTTTTTTTTTTTTTTTTTTGAGATGGAGTTTTGCTCATTGCCTAGGCTGGAGTGCAATGATGCGATCTGGGCTCACTGCAACCTCTGCCTCCTGGGTTCAAGCGATTCTCCTGCCTCAGCCTCCTGAGTAGCTGGGATTACAGGCATGTGCCACCATGCCCAGCTACTTTTTGTATTTTTAGTAGAGATGGGGTTTCATCATGTTGGTCAGGCTGGTCTCAAACTCCTGACTTCAGGTAATCCACCTGCCTCGGCCTCCCAAAGTGCTGGGATTATAGGCGTGAGCCACCATACCCGGCCAGGATATCACAGTTTTTACTTTATGCATTTTGCTTGAAAAGTCCTGGATTTTAAATTTCCAACAGCACTTAAAATAGAAGCTACTCAATATTAGTTCTTGGTTTGATTTCTTCTTTCCCCTCTCTGCCCATATTTCCTCAAAATGAAGTCATAATTAGAAACTTTCATCCATTACAAGTTAATGATTACTTTGAAGATCTGTCCATTTTTATGTCTTTAGGTTACCAGAGGGAACTTCTCTATCAGAGGGAAGACGGCTCTTTCAGTGCTTTTGGGAATTATGACGCTTCTGGGAGCACTTGGTAAGTGTTTTTGCCAACTGAACAAATCTGTGTCATGGAATGAAATTGACAGATATATCTCTATATATTGTAGACTGGGAGGTTACTTTTTCCTTAGTCTGACTTTAAAAAGAAATTTTCTTTTAAAAGTATTATTTTCAAACATTAACAAATCAAATGTTTTTATTTAGAAAAGATAAGTTATAAATCTTTTTGTGTGTGTGTGTAAGAAACAGAAATAAAAATACTTTATGATGATGGTGCAGCTGATAAAATCAGTTAGAAATGCCGGGTGATTGTGGCACAGCTTTTTTCTTAATCTTCCACGACTAATGCAAGTGTTGTGTTAATGGAGTCAAGGTAGTTTCTTTAAGATTTTGTGTGTGTGTGTGTGTGTGTGTGTGAGAAAAACTAACACTGATGGAATTAAGTATGAACAGCCAGTTTCCTCCAGACTGGAATCTCTATGTGGCTGATTTTGGATGATTAATCTCTCTTCTTGTACTTATCTTCAATTTGCTATTGTACTCAGAAAAAGATTAACTCACTGTATCAATCAGGATAGACTAGGAGTGCTGTAGTAACAACCAACCTACTCAATCTAAGCAATTAACAGTGAAGGGATTTCTTGTTCTTGCTGCCTTTCCATTGTGGTCAGCAGGGGGCTCTGCAGCTGCCAACGTGTCCACGTCTCCAGTAGGAGGCTCCAGGTTTGCCACAGCCCGGAAAGAGGAGGCTGGAATCTATAGCACTGGCAATTAGAGACTTCATCCTGAATGTATCATTTCTACTCATTTTATCCTTCTCAGAGCTGGTCACGTGGCTATGCCTAACCTCACTGGGGCAGGAAAGTGAATTCCTCTGTGTAACCAAAGTAAAAGAGAACTGGATATTATTGAATATTAGTAATGTTTACCACACGAAACTTTATATAACATGAAACAGATCTGCTTCACATTTTCTCTTGGCCTTGGCCTGAGTCAGGATATAGAACCATAAATAGAAACCTTTTAGTGTTTTAGTGCTTGATGTTCTTTTTACCTCAGTATAGTGTTTTGTAGCAGGGACTGGCCAACTGTTCTGTAAAGGGTCAGATTTTAAGTATTTCAGGCATTTCGGGCCACATAGAGTCTCTGTTGCATGCTCTTCCCTCTTCCTCCCTCTCCTCCCTCTTTCTTTCCTGTCTTTGTTTTTTTTCTTTTCCTTCTCCTTTTAATTTGGCAGGTGGGGGCTGGGGTGGTACACACATAAACAGGCCCTGAGCTGTATTCTGCTTGAGGGCCAGATTTGGGCCAGGCAGATTTGGCCCACAGGCTGCCGTTGGCTAACTCCCATTCTATAGGAGAGAAAAATATTTCCCCCACTTGAAGTACTACAGTTTGCTTGTGAACTATGTGTACATTCTTCATCCACAGCTTTGGGGTTGAGTGAAGTGTGTCGGAGCTCTTCTTTGGTAAATATCTAGAACAGTCCAAAGATGAATAACCTTGGACAATTTATTTAACTCTGTTGGACTGTCAAATTCTCAGTCTACAAAATAATGGAGCTGGATTACATAATTTCTAAATTCCTTTTCAAATCTGAAATTTTTGAGTCAACATGGAATTTCTTGGCCAAGCTCAAGTGGAAACCAGGTCTGCCTGCTAGAGAGAGTTGCTTACCTTGTCCCTTTGCTCTTTCTTTTTTGCTTTTTTTCTTTCCTTTGTTCTATCTTCAGTGATTCCCCCTTTGGTGAATCTTCTGATGGGGAGAAAGTGTTGTTGTTTTGCTTGCTCAGTGTTATTTGATGGACCTTATAAAGTGCATTTTATGTAATTTTTTTCCCTTTTCATAAAGGTTGTCAGCTTTTGTTTTAAGATGTTTCCTTGAAGCCGATCCTTACATAGATATTGATCAGAATGTGTTACACAGAACATACACTTGGCTTAAAGAACGTCAGAAATCCAACGGTGAATTTTGGGAGCCAGGAAGAGTGATTCATAGTGAGCTTCAAGGTGGCAATAAAAGTCCAGTAACACTTACAGCCTATATTGTAACTTCTCTCCTGGGATATAGAAAGTATCAGGTATTTCATCTTTAATTTAATAAATGATAGATGGGAAACACAAGGAAGGTAGGTCTTAATGGGTCAAATATGTGTGTGGAAACTTAACAAGTTGCAATTTTACAGCACATGTGAAATCTGAATTTGAGTACTCTTTTGCTTTGCATTTTGTGGCCATGTTCCAAAATCTGAGAATAAAAACATTAACCCACTCTTTCAGAATGACTAAGAGAATTCTAAAAATGCTTTTTAATGTATGTGTTGTACTTGCTATTGGTAAGATAAGTCAATACATGTTTTATCATTGAAAAAGTTAATTTCTGAGGGGAAAGAAAATTATTTAAAATTTGATAATGTGTTCTAGCAAGTTTAGATTGTGAAGGATTTTTTTTTATTTCTAAAACATCATGGAACAGTTACAATATCTGTTAATTTAGTGCTGAGAACACTCATACCCTGAAAAGTGTGTTGAATGGGCATGGATGCCTGGATGAGAATGAGTGTGCATGGAAAGGTATGCTGACGAGCTTAAGTTTGCTCCAGAGCTGTCCTGGTGATTGATACCGTTACTGCTTACTGCCTACTGCATTTTATGAGATCACCAAAGCCATTCTCTTTATTAGGCCCCCCACTATTTTCCTATTCTACTACTAGGCATGTAGAAGCTAAACTTTTCCTGAACTTAGAGCCACAATAACAGAGATCAAATATAAGAAATATATTTCTCAAGCAGTTTGCTGTTCTTGTCTGAGTTTATGATACTGAGTGGGAGAAATACTAGCAAAAGCTCTACATTTTTCTTCCAGGTAATGATGCCTGTTATAAAAACTGAAAAAAAGTATTATTTTCAAAATGCATGGCAAATCTTTAAATGTCAATGATCATGGTTGATTTTCATTGCCTAGGACAAGGTCAGGTGCTTCATAGACACGGAACTTATTTTTTAAATGCATGTTTCAAAGTACTTTTTGTTTCAATATGTGGTAATGGGTTACTTTGGATAGTAAAAAATATACTTTTTTTCTTCCAAGCCTAACATTGATGTGCAAGAGTCTATCCATTTTTTGGAGTCTGAATTCAGCAGAGGAATTTCAGACAATTATACTCTAGCTCTTATAGCTTATGCATTGTCATCAGTGGGGAGTCCGAAAGCGAAGGAAGCTTTGAATATGCTGACTTCGAGAGCAGAACAAGAAGGTAATGTGCCGGGCCCACTTGAGGTTGTTATGCATTATGAAATATATAACTTACGTGAGAAAAATTTTTAGCCAGGTTTGAAATTGATTACATCTACATCTTTTGGTGAAAAGTAAAACACACAATGAGATCAGGATGGGCCTGACATGGCCACAATACTTCTGGTCTCCCCAGGGTTTTTTTCTACAGAATTTCAGGGCTCAGTGTCTCTTTATTCTAGATATGTCATGCCCTATGTCACTTACCCTTTGAGTGTCTGATACCATTTCAGGTTTGGCAGCCTTGTAGTTTTCCAAGACCTTGGGTTCTGGAGAGACTTAGGTTCAAATTCTGGTTCTGCAAGTTACCTTTATGAGGTTCGGTTTTATCAACTGTACAGTGGGAATAACACCTATTTTAGAGTGGCTGTGAGGATTAATGTGCAATGCTGCTGCATAGCAAATGCTCAAAAATAGGAACGAAAATGCTAATTAAAAGAAATGTGAATACCAAAAAACGCTGCTAGTAAGTGGATTATGTGTATTTTATATATGAAGTAGACAGGGATCCAGGTGCGTGTGTGTGTGTGTGTGTAAGAAACAGAGAGAGATGTGAGTGGGTTGGCAGAAATAAGATAATGTCCAGTGATTCAAATTTCTGTTAATTCAAGAAGGGATAATTGTGGAAAGTGTTTAGAGGCTTCTTCTGAGACTGTAAAATATGTTGTATTAACAGTAACTTAGATTGGATCCTTGTTACCTATTCCAAAGCTGGGGACTAGAAGATTATCGCGTAGAGGCTAAAGCAGTCTTTGACATTTTTTCTTGTCTGCTTGGCTAAGTGGTAGTTATGTAGTATTCTACCTAAGTGTAGTCATCATCTAAATAGTAATATTTGAGAGAGGGCACCAAGTGGGATGGTCCTCTGGGGGCTAGAGCAGAATTATCTCTAGGAAGGTTGTTGAGTTAGCTGGGGTTCCTAATTTTTTTCTTGGGGGCTTGAACCTCAAACTCATAACACCAACCTTCAGATAATGAAAATAGGAGAGTCTTCCCAGAATAGTAGAGCTAGTTAATGGCAGATTCCCAGAATAGGATTCTTTTCAATGTGTCCTAAAATATTTTGGGGATGGCCTGGTCAGATAAGTAATATATATTATCTTCTGGAATATATTATTTTTTTCCTTTTATTTATAGCTATTTAGCCTTGAGCCAAACGTATGGAATTTCTCTTAGGAAAATTATTTTCATGAAAACATCCTCAAATGTAGGCAATGGGAAAAGGATGAAAATTTATAAATATATATGTTTAGCATCCCTAATCCAAAAATCTGAAATCCAAAATGCTCCAATGAGCATTTCCTTTGAGTATTATATCAGTGCTCAAAAAGTTTCAGATTTTTGAGCATTTCAGATTTTGGAATGTATGTATTCTGTAAATATTCCAAAAATTCAAACATAACAGAAATTGGACACACTTCTGACCCCAAGGTTTTTGGATAAGATGTACTTAACTTGTAGTAGTTTAAAAAAGTGACACATAGGCACATGTATACATATGAATGTGTGTGTGTTTGTGATAAATACATGTTTGGCATAAATAAATACATGTATACAAATAGATGTATTTTTATGCTAGTTAAGCACAACTTGGACCAGAGTAGGAATATTTAATTGTATAAAATGTAATTTTTCTGGATAATTGATCAGAATGTTTTTATTTTTCTCTTGTAGGAGGCATGCAATTCTGGGTGTCATCAGAGTCCAAACTTTCTGATTCCTGGCAGCCACGGTCCCTGGATATTGAAGTGGCAGCCTATGCACTGCTCTCACACTTCCTACAATTTCAGGCTTCTGAGGGAATCCCAATTATGAGGTGGCTAAGCAGGCAAAGAAATAGCTTGGGTGGTTTTGCATCTACTCAGGTGAGAGACGATAGTTTTTTCCCTTTAAACTATAATATATATAATATATATTTCTTGTTAGATATATTTTATATATCTAATAAAATATAAAATATATTTTATATTTTATTATATAATTATATATAAAATTTATATTAAAAATTATGTAAAAATGTGTATATATAAAATTATATATAATATAAATATTTAATATAATAAAATATAAAAATAAAATATAGTATATATTATAATATATATAAATTATATATCATGTATTAAAATATATATTTAAGAAAGTATTTGGTTGCATTTTTTCCTTGATTTCTTAAAATTACTTTGTAGTTTCAAAGTTTAGTAACTTAAGCAAAAGGCTAAATTCACTGATTTTAATTTTTTTCTCCTCATTATTATGAACTTTATATCTGATATTTATATGGAATAAACCAGTTCCCCATCTACATTTGCCATTTTTCATCTGTGGTAACTGATACAAGAGTAGATGTTCAGTTCCATATAGCAAATATTTTCTATTTTCTTTTCTTCTTTTTGGAAAGGAAAAACTGGAACTTTTAATTTATTGATAATATGTTCATTTATGTGCAAAATTGAGTGGGATTACAAAAATGCTACTAGGATTAACAAGTGAGTTTAGTAACATTGTGGTATAAAAAATCAATGTTCAGAAATCCATTGTATGTATATATGAGCAATGGAAACTCAAATCAAAGTAGCATAAAATGTTAACTATTTAGGGATTAATCTGACAAAAATCAGTAAGATCTGTACACTAAAAACTATGAAACATTTCAGCAAACATTTTCTGAGCCTCTCCTGTACTCTAGGCCAAGGAGATTCAAATATGAGTCAGGGAGCATTCTGCTGTGAAGGAAGGTGGTTGAATGTCCAGCAACAAAACACTACTAAATTTACTCTTTGAAGACCTTGACATATACTTATATGTACAAATGTTTTTTTTTCCCTCAACAGGATACCATTGTGGCTTTAAAAGCTCTGTCTGAATTTGCAGCCCTAATGATTACAGAAAGGACAAATATCCAAGTGACTGTGACGGGGCCTAGCGCACCAAGTCCTATAAAGTTTCTGATTGACACACACAACCGCTTGCTCCTTCAGACAGCAGAGGTGTGCACAAGGGGCAGTTATTTAAAAATCAGTGTAGACAATTCTTTATGCTGGAATACTGCTTTATTTGTAATCTGTTGATTTCAACAAAGACTTGTTTCCAGAGCTCTGTAGAGGAATAGGGAGAAATGATGCCCTCCTTTGGTTGAATTTGCTGAGCTCTGGAAGGGCAGGGAACTTTGGAAAGATTGGTGGAACAGGAGAAAACACGGGCATTGTAACATTGAGAAAGGAATGAACATAGAACCCTGTTGCGTTTCTGTTCTTCATAGGCACTGTGCTAGATTACTTTACATATTCTATTGCATTTACTTCCCAAAGTAACTCTAAGAAGTAAGTACATTTATCCCTGTCGTACATATGATAAAACCGAGGCTGAGAGAGGTTAAGTGACTTGCTCAAGATCATGTTACTAGTAACAGTTGAGCTAGGGTTTGAACTCATCATTCCAAAGACCATGTTCTTTTCAGCTGCTCCACATGTCTTCTTAGGAGAATTGATAGAACCAGTATTCTTACTTTAACTGGAATAAAAGAATATGCTAGTTTTTAACTTTATTCCCTTGATAAATTTGTGGGAGGTTGAGTACAATGGATGAAGGTGATAACTTCAATTCTGGAAAGTGAGGAAGAGTGGTGATGATAAAGGAAAAGAAGGAATAAAGTTAGACACAGTCATAGACAATGTGTTATTGTGCTCCTGGGAAAGCCAGGGGATTAAGCCTTGATTAAGGGAGGTCAGGGGAGGGAGATGACTTTAGTTTCTTGTCTTTTATGCTTCAACCCCAATAGGAGGACAGACTTGTCAGTAGCACTAATGTGCCCTCCCATGAGCAGAGGTGAGGGAGCTTGGGGAGTGTGCACTTTTCCTTCCATCACCTTGCTTACCTATTTGACCCATAGCTTTTGATATGTGAGACAGTATAAAGCTCTTAGTGCTGTCAGTGATTGCTTCTGCTCCTAATGAGGGATAGGACTGATCTGTTGTGCTACTTGGAAGGATCTACATATGGAAAATTAGCCTCATTCACTTTTTTTCACCTTGATTCAGCTTGCTGTGGTACAGCCAACTGCAGTTAATATTTCCGCAACTGGTTTTGGATTTGCTATTTGTCAGGTATGTAATGATGCTTATTTTTTTAAGTTAAATATGACTTTTTATAATAATTATTTGGTTTGGGGCTTTGCTAAATCTTAGATAACTTGAATATAATTCTTAATAATTTACATCTATGACTTAAGCAAGATATATCACTGTCTTTAATAAAAAGTATTAGAGATGTTGCCAGCCAGTGAATAGAGAGCAATTATATAGATTGATTTTCTATTTGAAAAATATTTCTTGGATATTATTTGCTTTTTGAAGTGAGGGTTAATGTCCTCCAATGTGATTCCTGATAACAAATACATGTTTTACTTACAATTTCTTAATATTCATCTGAGAATATGAAAGTCAACATGGTAGAATTATTGACTTGAGGGGAGGAATTGTGTCCCTTTAAAATTAATAAAATCTCATATAATAGTAAATATAACAATTAGAGCATAATTATGTTCAATCCTCTGGTACAGAAAGAAAATCTAAAGAAATCTACATTTTTATGGTACAGCGGGAGCTACAATAAAAATGGAAGTAGTATGAAAAATACTGAATAAGATAATCATTACACTAAATAGTACATAAAAATATTGAGGACTTTAAAATCATCTCATTAGAACCTCAAGATAATATGTGATAGGACCAAAAATGGTTGCGTGCTTAGGTAGAAACAAACAACCAAACAACCAAACAAAAACACTGAAACACTTACTGAGAAAGGAAAAAAATGGCTATTATGGAGAAAAAGTACTTTTTTCAAAAACCAGCACTATCATTCTAGTTGAGAGAGCAGATATACTTGCTGAGTAGGGCAGGTATACCTTGCTAAGCAGGTATAATTTAGAAACTTCCAAATAATTCTAAGATTATTTTGCATTACACACTCAGAATACAGTACACATTTTTTAAAACTAAAGGAAAAATGATCACAGTGAAAAGGAATGGTATTTAGTGAAAAGGTCAGAAAGAGAAAGTAAACAATTTATTTCGATCTTTACTAACAAAGACCATGGGAAAATTCTCATTCTCAAACTGTCTTGCAATCCAAGAGTAAATCTAAAAGTAAATATGCTGTGTATTCTAGATAAAATTGAAAAAATATATGTACTTAAATCACCAAGTTGGTTGGAATTCATTTTTGATAAACCAAATGTAGAGAAATTACTGAAACCAAGTGATGTTTTACTTGAGGCTTGAAGCACACAGGGGTGAATGTGGTACTTGCTGGTCAGAATGTTCATCAATCCCATGTCAATCTCAAAATGCAGAAAACAAAAGGAAGGAACCAGTAGGCACTTCTCATGAGGGAGGAAAAAAAATTACAAAGAAGTTGGACACCCAGAAATGGGTATTGAGATTTCTTACAGTTGATATTTTTATATGTGCTCTGGAAAAAGGAAGGCAAAGAAAACTCATGAGTTTGTAGTAAATATTACCCTCTTTTGGGTAATAAAATATTAAACTGTTGGAAATAAACTGCAAGATCTTTTAAAGTTCCCTGAGTGAGCAGTTGAGCTTTATTGCCAAATGTAAACCCTAATACTTAGTTATGGATGGGCATTAATTATGACCCGAGAGACAAATAGAGTAGTCCTTGTTTGTTTCCTGATAGCATTGGTCTCTAAAGGGATAATTGCATGCCACTGAAAGGGGAATGATGGAAATAATAGAGAGCATCTCTCCAATTTTATGAGACTATTCTTCAACTGCTTCAGGAATACTCTATAATTTAATCGTTATACTTTAAGGAAGAGTTGACAAATGTCCAAAGTAAGATAACCAGAAGGATCAAGTGGATGACAGATTATATGAGTTTGGATTGTGGCAGAATAAGAAGACTGCAACTTTTAGATTTGAAAAATGAAGGCTTAGAGGATTTTTTTAAGTGTGCAAATCCATGAGGGACATTAGATGTTAGTTCTGAGGTGTGTGTGTGTGTATGCACATGTGCATATGTGTATGTGTGTTAGGTATAAGTTAAAAGAAAACACAACCTTACAAAGTAACAGTAAGCTTTACGAACCTTGTTATAAAAAAGGGGATGAGGTAAAACATTTAAGTAGATTGCAATCCATCCGGGGATGAGACTGGACTAGGAAGTTTTGAGTACGTGCCTAAGCTTCTGATTTAGGATCCCTTTGAGAAAGACGCAGGTCCTCAGGCTCTCCCATTATGTCTACAGCACCTTTAACATCAGTGGTGGGTACAGAGTAGATGCCGAGAAAGACCCAGTTGACCTGAAAGCTGTCATTTATTTTATCATCTTTGACAAACGTTGTGTGAACAAAAAGAATCCTCAGCAATGTTCAGCTAAGGCTCTTCAATGTTTTAGTTTTGATTTATCCTACTGAGAGTTTGTGAAGTTCTAGTTAGAGAGAAATGACTCCATTTGGGCAACTAATTTCCTTAGAAATTAGTGAATGCTCTCAAGATGGTTTTTTCCTCAAGGGAATGTTTACCCTCTTTGACAAAACATTATCCCCAAATATCGCCCATGGTGTTTTATTGTACTTGTTTTGGAATATTACCTAACAATGTTAAAAATAATTTTATAAATTGTAATACTACTTGTTAATAGTGATACTTTGTTAGCAAGTAAAATTAATTTTTTTTTCTAGTTTGAAGATTAAAAATCTTACTGGGTCCATCCAAAGAGAATCATTACCTAATACAGTATTTAGAAGGCATAATGATAGAAGTTTATGTCCAATTTGTTATTTATGCTAGTTTATTTTTTACAGCTCAATGTTGTATATAATGTGAAGGATTCTGGGTCTTCTAGAAGACGAAGATCTATCCAAAATCAAGAAGCCTTTGATTTAGATGTTGCTGTAAAAGAAAATAAAGATGATCTCAATCATGTGGATTTGAATGTGTGTACAAGGTAAGTGTCTGCTTAGGTCTCTCTCCTTTTTTTCCTTTAGAAAATAGACTTGAAGGTTTAATTATTTATAGTTGTCTAACTATATAGATATAAGAAGTTATATTGAACAAAGAATTCAATTATGTACTACACTTCAGATTACAAACTAGAAATACTACTAATTATATTCAAGCATTTATTAGATGCATACAAAAATTATTTACAGGTTTTCCCTGAATGTATAACAAATTTGAATAGAACAGTGTGTATATAAATTAATAAAACTCAGGTCTAATTTAGGAAATCATATTTAATACTTAGAATGGTTATTTCTTGTTATGAGTTATTTTTCTGTTGAAATAATTATTTCAGGTTCATACTGAACTTTAACTGTTAGGCATTTAACCCAAAACTTTATGATAACATGCAAATTCAATCAAGAGGACAGGTTTTTTTTTATATACATTGAAAATATTCCAGTTTAGGAGTTTCTCATATTGGATAATTAGACACTTAACAGCTGAAGCTTCTGGGAGTACTTTTTAAGTTGACTCTTAAATTGTTCTATATCCAAAGCATCTGAGAATCTTGTTAAGTAATAAAGAAAAAGGATTCTACCTCAACCCTACCAACTTCACAGTAAGACTGGGAAGCTGCAGAGTTTTGGTCATTCCACTGCACACAGGAATTTGAGCACACTCCTTGTGAAAGTTTTTGAATAGAGGCTTCACATTTTTTTCTTTCGTGAATCTATTCTGTTACATCTGCCTTATTTGGTCTTGAGCTGGGACTTAAAGATGCTCTGGCATTGAGGAGCTGCTGTTTGCTCTTCTAAAATATCCCATAGTGTCCTGGTTTCACTGAGCTTATTGTTGAACTAGAAGTCCCTGGTGTGGTCCTGAGCTGGCAGATGTTCTTCAAGGTCATCTCTGGGTGTTCATCCAGGTGGCCAGCCTTCACAGCCATTGCCTGGACCCAGTCTCCACCATTACCGCTACTGTCTGTCTTTATCTTTAGACCTTCTTGTTCATGATTTTGGGGTAAAATGTCCCACATTTGTCCCATTCTTCACCTTCTTGGGCATTTTGGGCCAGCAGTAAGAGGATATCAGAATCTCTGCAGTGGCATCCTTTTCAGCTGAGAAGAAAGTGGGACTCCAATGATTTTTTACTAGTCTTCCAATTGGTCTCTGTTATAGAATAACAACTTCAAGTTATTATTATTATTATTATTATTATTATTATAATAAACAATAACAACCTACAGTGATTACAAACTTATATGCCAGGCACCGCACCAAACACTTTTACATGCATATCATTTAATTCTTACAGTAACTCTGTAAAGTATGTGTTATTATTATCCCTGCTTTTCTCAAATTCCTGACCTCAAGTGATCTTCCTGCGTTGGCCTCCCAAAGTGCTGGGCTTACAGGCATGAGCCACTGTGCCCTGCCTATTCCTGCTTTTCTCATTCATTTATTTATTCCCTCAGCAAGTATTGGTTGAGCCTCTACTATGTGCCAGGCATGGTGTCTGTGTGTCAGGTGTGGGAATGTAATTGTAAGCCAAAAAAGACACAAGCTCTGCCCTTGTGGAACTTGCTGTTTGAGATGGATACAGAAATTAATGGAAACAATCCCCTAAGCAAGTCTCAAATTCCAATTTTGAAAAGGGCAAAGAAGAAGACCCTCATGGAGTTATGAGAGGGAGACTTTTACCTCTTAAGAGACATCAGGTGAAGAAACATGAGGAAAATGAGGTGGAGCCAGGATTCAGACTATGAAGAGACCTCGGCATTTATAGGGGTTCATGTAAGAATGCAGGATTTCCAATCTTAAGCATCAGGAATCAGATGGACAACAGAGTTTGGGTGGTAGGTAGAGCCTGAAGAAGGGAACTGTTTTTATGTGAGGGTAGGGGTTTCATAAAAAGGGTTTAAATGCTGCTACTAGTTTTCTGAGAAAAATCTGGTATGAAAGACAAATAATATTTAAGTGTATTTTTTCACCAGCACATTATAAAAAAGAGGAAATGACGAGTTGATGGGTGCTGACGAGTTGATGGGTGCAGCACACCAACATGGCACAAGTATACACATGTAACAAACCTGCACGTTGTGCACATGTACCCTAGAACTTAAAGTATTAAAAAAAAAAAAAAGATTACCTGATATTTCAGACACTTTATCCTATCAACAGGGTCCAAGACCTTACCTCATACCAGGCTTTCTGTGTGGCATGATAGTTTAACAAATTCTGCCCCAGGCTGGTAGAGAGATCAGATCAACCAAGGTACTTTTAATATGTACCAAAAGTATAATCTGCATTGTGCTTTTAAATGTTTAAGCATATTGACTGCTTTTTCTCATCTATATTTTTTCTCATATGCAAACACCTCTAGTTTCAATCCATTTATTAGTTCTTAATAACATCTACTTTGGCTCAGTGCATTGCCAGCAGATGGTTTCAGTTGCTTGGGATTGCAGAACTGGCTGAAGTCAGCAGTTGTACTCTATGGCTTTTCAATCAGTCATGTTTGGCAGGCATAGGTTTTCTGCTCTAAAAAGCAAGGTTTTTCTAACAGCCCTTCTTGCTTTTGCCGTTTAAAAGGACAACAGGTACTAACTTAATGCTATGATCCTTTTAAATTGGAGGCAAACATCTTTCCATACTCACTTAGCTGGGCTCCTTCTGCTCCAAATGAAAAACTCTTGCCATCAATTCATTTTAGAAAAATATTTATTTGTAAGGAGATAAAATGTTGTTGGTGCCCGGATCCTCTGATGCTCACATCATGTACAACAGGGTGAGAGAAGGATGCAGTGTAATAAAACTTTCCAAGGCTTGTAATTCCCTCATGGTGTCCAAAGAAAACACAAAATGTTCTTCAAGTATATGGGAGAACAAAGGGAAGGCCTTTCCCTACTGGTCTGAAGTTTCTAAAACCAGATGAATAAAAGGTTGCTAAGAACTTGGATGGGACTATCACTAAGTGGTCAAGTGATGCCTCCTTCTCAGGGCCTGGCTTTCTTGGAAGTTTGGTGCTGTCAACTTTTGATAAAAGAAAAAGTGCAATTCGGTTTGGAATCACTGCTAGAAAATAGAGTTGTCTGTTGAAAGGATGTATGTTGTACTGTCACAGTTTATAAGCACAAGCCTGTTACACTGCAGGCATTGTACACTATCTGTCAGATGAACACATTGTTGTATCATTGTTCCTTATATGGTTGAAAGTTATAAGATTACCACACATGTAAGAAAACGATAACCTGTTTTAAAATTCTCTATAGTGAATTTTATTTGAACTCAAACAGTATTTGGAATAACATTTGGTGGGTTTGATTTTTGTATGAAGATAATTTGATAACAGCTGTGGGTTTTTCCTGAGGAGTTTTCATTCATCTCCCCCTCTTTGATTTAGGTTTTTGGGCCCAGCTAGGAGTGGCATGGCTCTTATGGAAGTTAATCTACTAAGTGGCTTTATGGTGCCTTCAGACACAATTCCTCTGAGCGAGACAGTGAAGAAAGTGGAATATGATCATGGAAAACTCAACCTCTATTTAGATTCTGTAAGTAGGAAAACATAAGGTAACCTGTTGACAAAGCTACTATGTTTTGTGTTCGGATGTCTACCTTACTTTAAGTATGTTTTCTTTAAGTCATTGTTATTTCAAGTTTTTGTGTCCCTGAATGAGTTTAACATGGCAACCATATACTTATCTCCATTAGAAAGACATGACTATAAAATCAGTTTAGAGAGTTGCTGTTAATGACGAGCCTGATGCAGGTCTTCGTAACTAAATCTTTATTTCATGCCAGATGTGAAATACATAGAAATTTCCATATTATTATTAAAACAGTTCAGTCTAGATCTGAATTTGAGAGCCTCTTTGCCTCAGGGAATTGCCTAGGCTGGAGTGCAGTTGTGCAATCATAGCTCACTGCAACCTCCAACTCCTGAGCTCAAGTGATCCTCCCACTTTAGGCTCCTGAGTAGCTGGGACCACAGGTGCATGCCACCTTGCCTAGATAATTTCATGAGAATTTTTTTTATAGAGACAGGGTCTCACTTTGTTGCCCAGGCTGGTTTTGAACTCCTGGCTTCAACTGATCTTCTGGTCTTGGCCTCTCAAATTGTTGGGATTACAGATGTGAGCCGCGATGCCTGGCTGGAAGACGAATGCCTTCATTACACATTTTAAAATTCTTCCATGAAGCTTCTAACAAACCTTGAAGGGGTTAATGTTCTTACCTTGAAAAATTACGTGCTAAATCATGGAGGATTATTCTCAGAGATTTGATCTCGACATAGAATTATTACATAACCTTCATGTACTCTTTCCATCGCTGAATGACTACTACTGATTCGAGAATAAGGTGAATACAATGTGTAGGTGAAGGTAAGTGAAGAATTCCAGACTCTGCTTGGTATGTCTCAAAACTGGTGGTATGTAAGTTTATTCTTTTCTTATAGCATTTATATGAGCTTCATAGGTTGAATTGATATTGAGTTCATAGTATTCTAAGGATTTCATATTACCTGGGTGGGTTTGATGTTTCTTATTTCAGTTTTGCTAAGTATGAATCAGAAATATATTGCTAAATATGTACTTTTAAAAAGACAGTTCTTGAATGTTCTCATTTGTTTTAGCACTTCAAAACCTCTTTGGTTCAAGCCCCGTTAAAACTAATTCAGTCTCAATATAATGTTAAATAACAGTCTCTAGATTCTTTTGCTCTTTAGGAATTATCTTACATTAATCACTGCTCGAAAGCCATGGGCCTGATTTGGAACTTAAAAAACAAATTTAAGGTTTTAATTTAGTAGTGTAATTGGTTTTGGAGTTTGTCTTCTATCTTTGATGCTCTTGTTAATGGTTATTTTAATTTGAGTGCCCAGCACTCTTTGAGTGGTCAGTTTGACTTTTCATTTACTACTATTGGCAAATAAGGGAATGTTTGAAGGAATTTACTAATTTCTGATTCTTTAACGAGTGTTGTTTGCCAAATTGGCCAAATCTATTCCTCTTGGAGACAGAGAGGCTGGCCTTGTGTACCCCATCTCAGTCATTGGCTGTGGAGTACAGCCCCATCTTAGTTACCTCACGTACTGGGTAACAGGGCTTGCATGAACTGAGGGCGATTCCCAGGAGAAGGAGGCTGCTGTGAGCCATTAGTAGTAACTGGGGGTGGGGTACACCATCTGAGACAGGAGATCTAGGAACATGCACCCTCAGGCTTGCTACTTACTTAACCACTCTAATTCTCAGTATCCCATTCAGCAAAATGGAACTAAGAACAATACCTTTTTGTAAGCATTGTTTTACAAGTTAAATAACATAGTTCATAGGAAGTACTTACTGCAGTATCTGACATGTAGAAATCCTCCTTAAGTGTTAGTCTCTGTTTCCTAAAATGGTAAGAAAAAGAAATGTCTTTACTTAATGATGAACACACAGTGTGCCAACCCCTTAAGACTGTTTTGCATTTCTCAAGGTAAATGAAACCCAGTTTTGTGTTGATATTCCTGCTGTGAGAAACTTTAAAGTTTCAAATACCCAAGATGCTTCAGTGTCCATAGTGGATTACTATGAGCCAAGTAAGTATGCTCTGGAGTTCTTAATACTTTAGAAATTAAGCCAGGCATTCGTTCACTTATTGGAAGTGACCATCTGTTGGATTGGTTCTGTGGCGAGGGCAGGATTTGGTAGGAGGAAGTATAGGCGGTGGGGAGGCAGGAAGTGAGCATCCCATTTCAGTGAAGACTATTGATAATTTACAAGGGTCACATGATAGGTTTTAGCATATGAAATTTAAACACGATATTTTTTTTTCATGTTTTAGGTTTTTAACTCTCACAATTATAAACTTTACAAAGAAAAATTGACATAGAGAGTCCAGTTATGTTTCATTTGCAAGGTATTGCTTCTATTCCAAGCACCCATTCCATCTGGTTCCAGCTTTAAAATGGGAGTTCTTCTAAAAGTAGAGCTACCATTTGTTCCCACAATCTCATTACTGGGTATATACCCAAAGGACAATACATTGTTCTACCAAAAAGACACCTGCACTCATATGTTTATTGCAGCACTAATTCACAATAGCAAAGACAGGGCATTGACCTAGCTGCCCATAAACTGTGGATTGGATAAAGAAAATGTGGTACATGTACATCATGGAATACTATACAGCTGTAAAAAAGAAGTAAATTATATCTTTTGCAGCAACATGGATGCAGTGGAAGGCCATTATTCTAAGTGAATTAATGCAGAAACAGAAAACCAAATATCACATGTTCTCACTTATAAGTGGGAGCTGAACATTGGGTACACATGCACATAGAAATGGGAACAGTAGACACTGGGGACTTCAAAAGTGGGGAGGGAGAGAGGGGAACAAGGGCTGAAACACTCTCTGTTGGGTACTATGTTCATTATTTGGGTGACAGGGTCAATAGAAGCCCAAACCTCAGCATCACATAATATACCCTTGTAACAAATTTGTACATGTACCCTTGAATAGTAAATAAATAAATAACAAATAATAAATAAAATGGGACTTCTTCAGGAGAGAACATGAACAGCATCTGCAATGCAGTAGCATTGGCTGGAGTTAACTGTTTCTCTATCAAGGGACTCTGGTGTTTTGCTGAAACCTACCCTTGATAACATGTTTTTAAAAGTGCATCAAGAAAAATATAGCCTGTTTGGAGAATAACTTGAGCTTCTTTGATTTTTCTGGTAACTCATTTTTATAAAATGATGGAAATTTAGGATGTAAAAAGAGAGAGCTGGTCTGGAGATGGCCCAAGTTTAATAGGACGAATCCATGTTCAGTCAGAGTGACTTTTTCTATGTGATCTCTGGCCTAATGTTTCTAATTGTAATATGTCTTATTTTGAATAAGCACTTGTGGTGGCTCAGAATCATCACAATGCATGAGACGCATGAGCATTTTTATGTGTTAGGTCGTTGTAGATAATTACACTTTAAATGAGATGAACTAGTTCCCATTGTTATTAGTGCTTCAGAGAGTATTCAAGACTAAGATGTAGCACCAGTTCTCTCCTCTTAGTCAACAAGCCAGTTCCTCTTGTCTTTTGCCTCCTGTTGGCGCTGAGGAAGAGGATTCACCCAGGTTCTTGTGGGACATTTGGGAAACAGTGATGTGACACTTTTTTCCTAGTGGACGGATGGAATACACTGTGGAGACCCAATGACAGTAACTAGTTATCCAACTTTATTACTTAACTTAGTTGCAAAATTCCCCAACTTATATTTCTTGGGTACATGGGGAACATTTTAAACATTTGAGAAACAAAAATAATTCAATCTATGCAAATTTTTATGGAAAACAACTTACTTATGAGGAGGCCATTTTAAAATGAAAATATGGGAAAGATCAGAATAAGCTAAACCTTCCAACCCATTTTAAAAAATCCCGAAACACATTTACGATATGGACAACAGTCTCTGAAAAATCATGAATAAATTTGACAATAGAATATGTTTTTAAAACATTATAAAACTCATTTATGTTTTACAGTGAGTTTACTGTGGTGTTATAGGTACTTTATGTAGTTTTTTCATGTTAGCTTTTAGATACTATATGCTCAATGTTTTAAAACAAGGTATTGCATAGGCAGTCTTCCCTTCATATTTATGCATTTTTTTACTAGAGCCCAGGGTAAATGCCTCTTTTCAGTAGTTCTAATGATTAGAATTTGATTTGAGTGCATAGAGAATGTCATCCTAAAATAAACTCTTGAGGAGGTTAAACAGTCCTCAACTGAAAATTCTCCCTGATGCAGTAAGAGATGAAAGTGGTGCTTTTGATTGCAGTGTGCAGCTGCAGTCTATTTGCTGTCTTTTAATGCTGGCCAACTGCTGGTGGTAGACAGATTGGACTGAATGCATTGTTTCTCTTTTGGATTTGGTTAGTATTTTGGATCATTCTTGGACATTTCAGTTGTTTCTTGTAAAGAAAAATAAAATTAGGTGAAGAATGGAAAACTCAGAAAAGTGTATCGAAATGCTCTTATGTTTTGGCAAAGTCAAGGTTTCTAAACAAGGGAGCCGTGTGAACTGATGTCTGCTTCTTTGAACAGGGAGACAGGCGGTGAGAAGTTACAACTCTGAAGCGAAGCTGTCCTCCTGTGACCTTTGCAGCGACGTCCAGGGCTGCCATCCTTGTGAGGATGGAGCTGTAGGCTCCCATCATCACCCTTCAGTCATTTTTATTTTCTGTTTCACGCTTCTGTACTTTTTGGAACTTTGGCTGTGATTTATTTTTAAAGGACTCTGTGTAACACTAACATTTCCAGTAGTCACATGTGATTGTTTTGTTTTCATAGTGGAATACTGCTTCTATTTTGAAAACAGTTTTTTTTTCTTTCTATGGGGTTATGGGGGTGGTGTACAACAGGTCCTAGTATGTATAGCTGCATAGATTTCTTCACCTGATCTTTGTGTGGAAGATCAAAATGAATGCAGTTGTGTGTCTATATTTTCTCCTTTCAAAATCTTCTAGAATTTTTTTGGAGGTGTTTGTTTTCTCCAGAATAAAGGTGTTATTTTAGAATAGGCATTCTCCTCATTTTGTGAAAGAAATGAACGTAGATTCTTAAGCATTATTACACATCCATGTTTGCTTAAAGATGGATGTCCCCAGGAATGGGAGAAAACAGCTAGCAGGAGGAGCTTCATCTGTTCCCTTCCCACCTCCAACCTAACCCTACTGCCGACCCCACCCCAACCCACCCCATGCCCAGTGGTCTCAGTAGATATTTCTTAACTGGAAATTCTTTCTTTGTAGAATCTACATGGTGAATTTTTTTTTTTAAGTGGCACGGTCTTTTTCTGCTCGAAACCTGATCACACACCCCAGCCATTTCCCTCCCTCTCTTTCTCTTCTATAGAGAAATGTGAGGGGCAGTACATTTCCCTGTGCTTTGCACACCATCTCAGAGGTTGAGGAGCATACTGAAAACTGCCCTGGGGGTTGCTGGGTGTGCTGTGTCCTTCCCACATCCTCAGCCCCACACCAGCTCTATTTCAGGGGTGAGAGTCAGAGAGCACAGAAATATGTGCCTCATGGGACTTCGATTAGAAGATCCTAGACCAGGAGACACTGTGAGCCAGGAGTACAGCAAAATACTAGATAAGTCACTGCAGACCAACCTCCCCGCAGTTTGGGAAAGAAGCTGGGTTTGTGGAGAATCAGAGCATCTTGACATGATTGCTGACCTACAGATCCCTGGCATTGGCCCGGGATCCTGTGTCAACTGTTCTAGGCTCAGGGGTGTGAGCATCAGACTGCCAGTTGTCTAGTGACATCTCATGCTGGCTGTGAACTTTTAAGATCCCCGAATCCTGAGCACCTCAATCTTTAGTTGCCCTGTATTCTGAAGGGTAATATAATTTATCTGGATGGACATTTTAAAGATGAATCCCCCTTTTTTCTTTTCCTCATTATCTCTTTCTTTTCTTTCCTTCTCCCTTTCTTCTTTGCCTTCTAAATATACTGAAATAATTTAGATATGTGTCAACAATTAATGATATTTTACTCAATCTAAGAAATGGTTTAGTTTTTCTCTTTAGCTCTATGGCATTTCTCTCAAGTGGACATGGGAAAAAGTAATTGCCAGGGGCTCCAAAGAATTTGCTTTGTTTTCAGCTATTTAAAAATAAATCCATCAAAAAGAAGGTATGCAAATGTATCTTTTAAAGTTGTTTTTTAAAAATGCTCTTGCTTTAGTGAATTTTCAGAAATTGTAGTGGAATGGATGCTCATATATTGCTTATGGATATTTTGGATACCAGGGTAGGAATAACTGACAATCAGTATTTTAAAGCTGGCAAACCTATACGTAGAAAATAGATTCTCAGACAGTGGTCTATGAAGAGGGCAGTTAAGTATCGAATACCTACTTTTCTTGCCTTTTTTTTTTTTTTAGTGGGAAAAAGTTTCTAGATCTCTTACACTTCTGACACAATCTGTTCTAAAACAGGCACTTGTTATGCTGGGGCCTCCTTGTAAACGTGTTTTTGCCCTTTATACTCTGGGAATTCTTTAAAGGTGAAATCATCTTATAAAGAAATCGGGGGAGGGTCTTGGCAAAGGATTTTCCCTTCCTCTTCCCTGGCCTGGGAACCTTATACTGACAATCAATACTTTATATTTTAAAGTACATAATTTATAGTTAACTTTTAGTGTAATATATTAGGAAACACTAGAATGGAAAGGCCATTGGAAGACAGGTCGTATCTTTTTCAGACCATATTTCCTTGTTTAAAAACTAGCATTTGAATACTTTTTCTATGAAGAACTCCAAGTTTTCAAGTTAAAAGTCACCTCCTAGGCCAGGCACAGTGGCTCACACCTGTAATCCTAGCACTCTGGGAGGCTGAGGCAGGTGGATCATAAGGTCAGGAGTTTGAGACCAGCCTGGCCAATTTGGTGAAACCCTGTCCATACTAAAAATATAAAATTTAGCCAGGCATAGTGGCATACACCTGTAGTCCCACCTACTCAGGAGGCTGAGGCAGGAGAGTCACTTGAACCTGAGAGACAGAGGTTGCAGTGAGCCGAGATTGCGCCACTGCACTCCCGCTTGGGGGACTGAGCGAAACTCCATCTCAAAAAACAAAAAACAAAAAAGTCACCTTGTAACTCATCTCTTTTTATTGTAAGTTTATTAAAAGTGAAGAGGACAACAATGAGAAGGAAGAGAAAGGGTTAGCAAGCACTGCCTCCTGGGGCATGGGGCTGTGCAGGTGTCCCGGCCACTTCTTCCTTCATACTTCCCTTAGAGAACTTGCTCTGCTACAAGCAGTGGGGTTGGACTAAAAGTGATTAAAATACCACAGGCATAAGGAGAAAAGGAGAATATGTAGTAGTAATAATTAATAGTATAAATTATTTTCTTCATATGATATGAGTAATAATATTAACTCATTTCACCATTAAGATTGCTTATGCTGAAGCTCTTCCATTTAGAATACTGTCAATGTCATTTACTGGTATGAACTAAAGTCCCCCTTCTTTTCTACTCACTGTGAACCTTAGTAAAACACCAGCATATCTCACCTCCCTTTCTGATTGGCCAATGCTTCCAGAGACTGAATGTTGGGAAAACCTAGTAGCCAAACAATTCTAGGACAGAATAACACTTTTATATTTGGTTTCCCCATCTTACTACCTTTAGTTAGAGTTTTAAAAAAGAAATTCAAGCCCATTAAAATATGCCTGGTCAATGAAATGCTTCCTTTTATTGTGTTCTATTGTACTTTGTTTTTCAAAACATTCTAAAAATAGTATCTTTGGTTTAATATTTTGGATTATATATTATAATCTGAGGAGCATTTTGCTTATATAGAATCTAGATATATTTCTGTTACTTAGGAGTTGTTACTTACATGTGCAATACCGTATCCTGCACGTGGGAATTTTCAGAATTGTAGATAGCATAACTCTCCCTGCTCCTGTTGTTTTGAGCCTAGGTATAATTTTTTTTTTTTTTTTAGAAAAAGATGTATTTAGCTTTAATTTCTATTTATGCTAAAGATAGTTATAAATAGTCTGTCGATATAGTACCAACTATTTTTATTTTGACATAATTCAATTATTTCATTTGACATGTCTGGCTGAATCAAGACATTAAAAAATTGGATCTATGTTGAGACCATCCTGGCTAACACGGTTTCTTTACTAAAAATACAAAAAATTATCCAGGTGTGGTGGTGGGCACCTGTAGTCCCAGCTACTCGGGAGGCTGAGGCAGGAGAATGGTGTGAATCCAGGAGGCAGAGCTTGCAGTGAGCTGAGATTGCGCCACTGCACTCCAGCCTGGGCAACACAGTGAGACTCCGCCTTGAAAAAAAAAAAAAAAAGGATCTCTTATTTTTCTTTGTCATTTTTAAAAAAAGAACCATTTTATTAACCTGCTGGCATATAATCTGGAGTTCTTTTGACAACCTTACTTTTTCTGATTTGCTTTATTGAATGATTGAATACTCATTTCTTTCTAAAAATATGTTGTAAATTCTCCCTTGGCAAGATTTCTCCCTATGAGGGTACTTATTATTTGAGTCTGCCAAGTGGTTACCATTGGGCAAGGTGCCATGATATATTCTTGGGTGCATTAGTTTTTTGCACGTTGTAAATTTAAGACACTTATAGTAAGTGGACTCATTCGTGGATGGGCTTCAGAACCTTTTACATTCTCAGTAGAGGCTTCTGTTGGACAGGCAGAAGAGTATCTTCCTCACTTTTTTTTTTGTTTTCAAATTCCAGGAAGGTATAGCACTTTTAAGAAATTAGAATTTTTCTATCATCTATGCAAATGATATTTATGTTAATATTAAATATCTTATGTTACACTGGGAGTAATTTGAGGTGCAATTATTTTTATCACTACTTTGAATAGAGGACCATTCTCCTTCTTTCTTCAGAAAACTAAGCAGTAAGTATAACTTTTAAAATAAGTATGTATCAGTGAAAGTAGGCTTGTTTTACAACTATTTCTAGCCAGTGAGTTGTGTTTTCATGTCTCATCAAGACGGTACCACATTGCATCATTTTACAAAATACATTGTCATTTTCATTTCAACTGTAACATAGGAAAATAGATATTTCCTAGATGATTTCTGAGTTTCTTACTGCAAAGAAAAGTTATCAATTGGTATACATGTGTCTCTGTAATAGGGATAAAATTGCTATATCTGTTGCGACATATTCAAGAATCATTCTATCTTATGTTGTCTTGAGGCCAAGATGTACCACGTTTGCCCTGTATATTGAATTGGTGGTAGAAGGTAGTTCCATGTTCCTTCCATTTGTAGATCTTTAAGATTTTATCTCTGATAACTTTAATAGAATGTGGCTCCATTCTGGTCCTTCAAGCCTTTATGGTTTGGATTTTCAGCAGGGGACAGTTGATGTGGAGTCAATCTTTTTTGTACACGGGAAGCTTTATAAAATTTCCTTCACGAATCTCCTATTTTGGGAAGCTGTTTTGCATACGAGAAGAACACTGTTGAAATATTATTTTTCCAGGAACTAAAGCTTTATATATTGATCAAGGTGATTCTGAAAGTTTTAATTTTTAATGTTGGAATGTTATGTTATTGTTAATTATACTTTATTATGTATTCAATAGAAAATCATGATTTATTAATAAAAGTTTAAATTCCCATCTATTTATTATGTGTTCTTTTTATTTTAGCATAAAGCATGTCTATAGCACACCTCCCTTATGTAAGCCTATTTATGAGAAACAGGATATTTGAGGCTAGCTTAGAGTAGGGATTATTGTGTTGCAAGGTAGCAATGTAATGAAGTTGAAGAAATTTGATCACCAGCCTCCTTTACCTCCCCACTCAGTGGAGAGGTAAGTAATACACAAATTGAAAAAAATTAATGTGAGGTGAGCACTCAAGCTCTGGAAATTATATAGAAGTATATAGAACACATAGTTTTTATACACACAAGAAAATGGAGGCACGGATTGTCTTAGCCAGAACATAAGATTTCATGTACATTTTCTTAATTCCCATCCAGTGTTATTTAATATTTCTGTTGCCATGAATTTTCTGGGCTTCTGTGAAATACTAAAGATGGCATTTCACAATTGGGGGTTCTCAACTGGAAGTGATTTTGCCTTCGGCTACCATTTGCCAATGTCTGGACATGGTTTGGTTAACATAGTTGGAGGTAGTGCTGTTGTCATCTAGGGAATGGAGGCCAGGGATGCTGCCAAACATCCTACAATGCATCAGACAGCTCCTTACAACAAAGAATTATTCTACCCAAAATATCAAAAGTTCCGAGGTTGAAAAGCACTATAGCTAAGTGATGCTGGGCCCTTCTAGATCACCTCATGATGCCAATTATTTAATATGATTAAGTTAATACACTCTTATACAGGAGTAGAGTCATTGGAATCACTGGACAGATATTTAGATTAACCAATAAGTTTATATCCCAAGTCTAGGAAACTTAGCTTGGAGACTGGGAAAAGATGAAGTAATTAGTTTTTGAAAATATCTACAATGGTAGTTTCCAAACTTGATAGCCATTAGACTCTCTAAGAGCTTGGTCTGATAAAAATTTCTGGCCTTACTTTAAGAAATCCTAATTCAGCATATCTAGAATCAGGTTCTGGATCTGAATTATTAAGCAAATAGGTGATTCTGACGATTATTTTAATCTGAGAACCACTGGATTATTTAATGAGTTTTCCAGGCCTCATTGGCGTGGGTATGAAATGGGATCCCGGAAATAGCATCATCCATGCCATCTAAATGATGATGTAGGGCCTCCAGCCCCGCTGGACAGTCCTTCCCAGTGATTCCTGGGGGCTTCCAGGACTGTTCCATGCTCTCACAAAAGATCGCAAGAGCTGTCACCTGGGATTTGCTTTGTTCTTTCTCTCCTATCTGGCCCACTTTGTTGATGTTCAGTGTAGCAGAGACTGCCACTTTCTTCCTCCTATTCAACCCCTTCTCTTCCTCCTCCTTAGTCTCAGGAGGAGCTACATTTCCCAGATGCCTTTGCAGCAAGGTTGAGTCCTCGACCAGGT